TATACTCAGCTTCCCCTTCTAAGCAGTAATTATGAAGAGATGAAATGGAAATGAGGCAGGCGCTTTGTAAGCTTATTGTGAAGTCTGGACTATAATGAATAACAGTGGTAGCCCACTGCCTCTGATGTCTCCTGCAACCCCACTCTACATACTGTAGCTCTTAGTGCACATGGATGCTTTAATAGTAACATGTGCAGACATTTATTCCCATTTGATAAAACACACAAAGTGTGCGGAGGTGTGGAGATCAGAGAGCACAGCTGAATGCCCATCCTCTTTTCACTCCACATTATTTTTAAATAGGGCAGGATACTAAACCCAGAGTTGAACAACTCGGCGGGACAGTTGGCCACTGATTTTGAAGAATGCACCTGTTTCTGCCTCCGCCCCAGGTCTGGGGTTACATATGTGTACCTGGCCTCTACATGGGTGCTGGGAATCTAAGCTCAGGTCCACTTACTTTTGCTGCAGGTATTCTGGGGGTGGAGTCATCGCCCCAGATTCTTGGCCTTTACTCGGACAATATAAGTAACTTGATAGGGAAAGCCTTGTTAACCAATAATCTTTAAGAGGTGGAACCTAGTTTAGGTGTGGCTTTCTGGGACCGGGAGAGAAAAACCTGTGCACCACCCAGGTGCACTCTTTGTGCAGCAACCAACGTATATCTAATTATAAGAAAAAGAAATATTCAATATTTATCTAATTACAAGAAGAATAAGTATGCATACCAAATATTTTTATAAGAATTATTCAAACCATCATTCTGAAATTAAAAGTAGTTGCCGGTGTGTGTGGGTCAAATGCATATGTGGACTCAATGCTCAGGTTTTTGCAAATTCTGTAGCAGATCATTGCTTATGTACTTAATCTAATTATTGTAATGTATTTTCTAAAGAAGTTACTTGCTATAGAATTAGGTTTATAACCAGCAATAACTGACCAGTTTAACTTATACCTAGAAGATTATTTAGGACTCTATTAACAAATTATTTCTTTTAATAAGAACATGATGGCATTTAAATGTCTCCTTACTGGCTTGAGGAAAATCGTTTCCAGACACAATATTCACAGAAAAGATAAAGACAATGACTATAATGATTTGTTTTAAAAATCACATAAATATCTCACTTAAAGCTTTTTCATAACAATAAGGTTTGTATACTGGTTGCCTCCCTCAACTTTTCCCAGAGGCAGCAAGTGCATATTTTATCCTCAGCTGAGAGACTTTCTATCAGTACACTTAAAAGCAGCAGGGTGCATAATTAGGAAAGCCTGCCATCTGCAGAGCCCTCCAGGTGCAAGAGACATTCGCTTTATTTAATATTACCACAGCATTAATTTTACTTCATTAATTTATACCATTCGTCCTTTATTTCAAATTAGGATTGCCAAAACTCGGTCAATAGATATCATGTCTTGATTCATTTTAGTGAACACCTTATAGTGTGAACAGTATTAAGCAGCTTTTGTGGCTAGGAAATGACTAGCTGGCTTTCACAGCAGAAGGAAAAACTCCGATAACAAAGTTCTCTTTGCACTGGAATAAGTTTCCAAGGGGGAAACACACCACTTTAGGTGGCCCAGGCAGTAGCAAATACAGCATCACAGAAAGAGTAAAGTACTTTCAGTTTTAAGTCCAGGAAAGCCTCCCTTGAGTTGCTGACAATGGCAATTCTTACTAACAAGGAGCAGGCCTCACCTTAAGACAATAAAACCTAGACAGAACTTTTGCTTGTATTATTTTGCAGTTATGGTAAGTTACACTGACTTCTCAGACAAGCAGTGAGATAAGCATTCTCTCAAGACAATTCAAGGTGAATGTCTTAGTCAGGGTTCCTACTGCTGTGAGGAAACACCAAGATCAAAGCAATACGTGGGAGAGAGGGTTTATTTGGCTTACACTTTCACATCACTGTTCATCACTGAAGGGAGTCAGGACAGGAACTCACACAGGGCAGCAACCTTGGAGGCAGGAGCTGGTGCAGAAGCCATCGAGGGGTGCACTCAACCTGCTTCCCAATAGAACATAGGATTTGCAGCCCAGATACAGCCCCACTGATCACTAAGAAAATGCCCCCCAGCTAGATCTTATGGAGGCATTTTCTCAAGTGAGATTCCCTCCTTTCAGATGACTCTAGCCTGTGTCAAGCTGACAGAAAACTAACAGGGACAATAACTAATCTTTATAAAAGGAAAACAAACAAACAAATAAATATGAAGGCATGAGAAGTACTTCAAAAGATTGTAAAAACACTGGAATTTTGAAGATTTTCTGTAAGTTGATTTGTAGCCAACTTTTGTATCCGTTTGTATACAGGAAAAAAGACAACACTGAATAAAAAAATGAAAGTTAAAGACTGAAGAAAACATTAAATGTTTTTGTTCTGTATCTTTTAAGAAAGCACTAACTACTCTAATAGTTGATTGTTTATTCTTAGCATGATGGAAATATTTTATATTCTGATATCTCATTCAATCTTCCAAATTAAAGTGAACCTGTAGTCAAAGGCGAGTTTCTGTCCTGCCCCATTCCACAGTTGCTTCCCAAATTACTGCACAGAAGGCTTATATTATTTATAAATGTTTTGCTGGTAGCGTAGGCTTATTATTAACTAGCTCTTACACTTAAATTAACTCATAATTCGTTTTTATGTTTAGCCACGTGGCTTGGTACCTTTCATCTTGCTTCCTCTGCAGCTGGTTGGCACTCCTGACTCTGCCCTTCTTCCCAGAATTCTCCCAGTCTGCTCATCCCGCCTATACTTCCTGCCTGGCTACCGGCCAATCAGTGTTTTATTAAACCAGTTTGAGTGACAAATCTTGGCATTGCACAAAAGCATTATTCCACAGCATAAACTTGTACATTTTATCTAATGGAATAAAGTACATTTAAGTTAAGGGCATTTAGGGGAATGGAAGCCTTCAGGCAAGAATTGCAATTTCTAGGAAGAAGAAGATGCATATTTCCCAATTGTAAGTGTATTTCTGAACACACATGGTAAGAAGAGAGAAAGGATCACAGACTATTCAATGACACAACACACAGCTGAATGAACTTAATGAGGGTAGGAATAAACTCTTGAGTGATGTCCAAGGATACGCAAACACACAGCTGAATGAAATGAGGAAGACAATTCAGGACTGAAAAACTGAATTTGGCAAAAGAGAGAAATATTAAAGAGAACTGAAATTGAAAGGAAGATGGAATTGAAAAACTCAACAACTAGGAAAACTCAGGGGAAAGCCTTACAAACAGAATGTGTTAAGTAGAAGAGAGAGTATTGGAAGGTACTCAAAGACAAAGTAGAGGAAATGGGCCACACAAGAAAAGAATACAAGAAACTCACACACACACACACACACACACACACATACACACACACACACACGTTTGCACATGCGCGCACACACACGCATACGGAACAGAACATGAAGGAACTTTGGGGCACCATGAAAAGACAAAATTATAGGTGTGAATGGAGAAGAATGCCAGGGCAATGGCATGAACCAGCTTCCCCCAGGATTACAGACACCATCTCCTAAGAAATAATACTCAGAGCTAAAACAAAAGGAAAGCTCCACACAGGCGCCTAAGGCAGTCTTCTGAGCACTGTACTTTCAAATACAAATATTTTTAGTGGGACAATTCTGAGATTATTATCACTCATTTACCTTTCTGATAGAATTTCATTTAGGGCCTTCCATTAAAGTTTCAGCACTCGGCTTACAGTCAAATGCCTACACAAATATTTTGTTCTCAGTTTACAATGACATGGAGAATTTGGAATACTTGTGTCTTGAGGCAAGAGAAGCTGAAATGTAAAGAACAGAGAAATCACTTTAAGAATACTTATTTTCCCTGAGTTTCGTACTCTTTTATATAGACATTTTCTTGGCACCAACAGCTTTATTTTTTATCTCTTGAAGTAATGGAGGCCAATCTAGCCTTACAAACAGCTCCCTTTGAAAGGGCAAAGTTTAACATTAATTCCTAGTAGACAAAGTCCAGGGACATCTTTGCACAAATCAAATGCATTCCAGATCTGTCATGAACTGGAAACAACACAGCAGGGCTGCGGGAAGCGGGCGATGAGAGTTCTGACATTCCCACACTGAAAGCACAAAGCCCAATCCTCCCATCTCTCTGCAGGCAACCTTTCAACTCCCAGCTTCACTCAGAGATCTGAAGAGGGGCGCTGGCATTCAGACAGCAAACTACCTGAGCAAATCTAAATGGGCTTACTGCCATCTACCTCAGACAAGGAAAGAGCTCCCTTCCTTTCCTCATGTCTGTCAACATCTGCTTTCTCAGGATTCTTAAGGTGAAAAAAAGAAAAAAAGAAAAGAAAAAGACCTCCTTTTTTGTCTTCCCCTTCATGATTCAGTCTTCTGGTACAGGAATTCCATGGACTTATTATGCTCCTTACTACTCCCGATGCTACAAATGGGTCAGTGTGAAGTTAACACATCATTACTGCTGTAATTATCCCTTGGCATTAATGAGGAACAGCACCAGGCATCTGTGGTTGTCTCTGAGTTTAACTGAACAATAACACTGAATTTATAGGCAATCCATTGTCTTGTATTGTATATAACACTAATACTGTAAGATTAATTTTAAACTGTTTGCCTAAGGATGTCCTTCTTACATCACAAAACCCCATACATTTATAGAAAAGAATAATGTAAGAAGCACATGTCTTTGCCTTTTTAGACTTGGTAGAATCTATGTTGTTTTTTTCCTTTCCAACTTCATCTCCTATCCCTCCTCCTCATGTTTGCTAATAGCAGCTCAGAATCTCTTGTTTGACAAATACAGACATAGTAGCTCAAGATATAAAAATACGTTATTAATTATCTAGGGATTCCTTTATAAAGTCCTGCCAACTGGTGGCTTAAAACAATGTTTAGTTTATTTTCCCACAATTCAGGAGGTCAGGTACTTTAAATCAAGATGTCCCCTTAAAGGGCTTCATAGGAATGCATCCTTGTGTCTATAGGTGATGGTTCCAGGCATGCCTGGGCTGATGTCCTTGGTTCCATCTTCACAAAACCATCTTCTCCCACACGGCTGAGTTGTCACAATTCCAGGACAGGACCCATCTTAATACAGTCTGGCTTTAACCACACTGGCATAAAAATTGCATTCTGAGACTCAGGTGGGTATGGACTATTACAACAGCATTCAGACACGCACCTGGCTGTTTGTTTTCTGGGGGCAGGGGTTGGGAGGGTAGTACGTCAACATATTTTCTTAAACATCCATTTGATTGCTTGATTTTTTCGCAGAGCTGATAACAGTGTCCCCTATTAAAATCTGTTTGACATCAAACCTGCAGAAGTTCAGCATCCATAGTATACCAGGCAAGGATGCAGTCATACCTTCCTGACAGAGAGTCATCAAAAGATGTCCTAAAGCCTACAGCTTATCAGAACAAAAAGATGGAATTGGCGAGGCAACCACCTCCGCTGACAAGGACTGCCTGCCTGAAGATTTGGTGAAGTCTGCACTTTGTTTCACTCATTCTGAGGTTTGAATGGACAACTCATAGGAAGGTTATATAAAAATATATTTTCTTATATTTGAAAAATTAACTCATAGCTTTTCAATGAAATGAGCTCTCATTTTACAGAGAACCAGCGAGAGAGAATGCACTCTCACTAGCTAATCTGAGACAGAATCCAGAGACAGCTTTCTTGCTCTGTTCTCCAGTCTTGCCTTGTTCAGGAAGATAAATTCCATCTGAAGCAATTCAGTGGTTTATAACCCATTTAATAGTACAATATTATTGCATTTGTAGCATCCATGAAAAACAAGAGCAGAACACGTCTCTTCCTATGTCCTCCTCCTCGGCTCATGAGCAGCCTTTGACTCTCCGGTGTTAGAAAACGCTGTGGAGGTAAAACCATGAATGTTTGCACAAGGATGGCGTCTAGAGTTCCTTATATTGCATGTAGGGCGAGACTCAACAATTTTAAACAGTAAATCCTGAATAATAAAACTTTCCCCCAATATGAAGAACAGAAAAAGCATCCACTGTTTTGTTGTGCACCACAGAAGCTTATTTATTCACTTCACATTTACACAAGAATGCTTATAATAAAATATCTGTACACGACTCTTGCTACAAATATAGATAATATTCAAAGAGACTTTATGGATTCTAATGTAGGAGTTTCACGCTCTAAAATGGAACTGAACACATAATTCTTCACCAGTTGTCTCAGTAAACAGCTCCATCTGCTTCCTTAAACTATTGTATTATAAGATGTTAATATACGGCGAGGAAATGAACTTATGTTAACCCCCTTAATTTTTCTGTCAATTTATTAATGGTATAAACCAAAATAATTACTAACAAACTGTCTTTTTCTCTGTCATCAAGATTATTACTAATGGAAAACAATAGTACAGTATGCTAATATATTTTCAATGTGGTATCAGTCTGTTAGGTCAGCACTAGGTTTGGGGCTCTTTTCTATGTCTTCCATGACTAGATGGTTGTCTTCCAGAACTTCAGCCAACATAGGAGAGCATCCTTATTTTACTTATAACAACACGAAAATACAGCAGGTCAAAAAGTGAAAATGAACACCTAGATGTTCATTAAACACGGTTTTGTTTTAAAGCTTAGTAAGACTGCTAAACAATATTAGCAGAAAAATATTTATTAGCAGAAGAAGACCACCATGTCACAAAGTTCACAATTTTGAAAGAGTAGACGATTCAAAATGACTGTGAACATTTTTTGTGGGGATGGACAGCCAGATTGGGGAATTTTTCGAAAACTCAAGATTGTCCTTTATTTTTTTTAATTTTTACTTTTTTTATCCTAATTTTCCGAAGGCATTTGTCTTGTCCAGCTTTGAGTTATTTTGTTTTCATAGTACCAAGATGAGCATATAATAATTTTGTCCATATGACTAAAAATTGCTTGATATCTTCAAAACAAAAATGAGGCTTACCTATGCAAATATCCCTTTCTTTGAGTTTAGGACCATGAGATAGGAGGGGAAAGGAAAAACAATGCTCGGTTGTCAGGAACAAAACCCTAAATGTCTCTCTCCCTCTCTGTATTTTCCCCCAGTGAACACAGGATGTTCACATGAATTGTTCTACTCAGTTACAGTAGGAGGTGAGCACGTGGCTCGGCAGTCAGTTCAGGAAAGAACCATGAGGGTGACAGTGCCTTTGGTCCGTTTAAGGATGGCAACTGCTTCTTCATGGGTTACTCCTTCTAGACTCTGCCCGTTGACAGCAATGATCTGATCGCCCCTTTTTAGACGCCCGTCTTCCGCGGCTGCTCCCTGCAATTATAAAGTAGACTTGTTTACTTGCGAAAGAATTCAGCCCACACAAAGAAAAAGAGCTGAACAAGAATGCAAATTGCTCTGCATGTACACACACATTGCTCCCGGCGCCCTATACCATTAGGCGTGATGAACACACACAAAAGAGGCCTTTCTCCAAAATGGTTTTAACGCTGAGATTCCAATCTGGGAGTGAATTTAGCAGTCAATAGAGTAGCTGGATGTTTTTTTGGCTGTTTAGCACAGCAGTTGGTAGCAACTAAAATTAATAAAGAATATTTGGGCAATTGCCTAGTAGGAGCGATTTCATAGAAACAAGGACTTTCTATCCATAAAGACCCACAGTGGGACAAGAGATCAGTGAGGAACAAAAGCCGCTTCATCAAGCAAAGCTATGGACTCCAGAATCCAGATCTCCAGATACAGAAAGCTCACATGGGGGCTGACCACAGCAGGGTAAAAGTGATGATTCCAAAGCCCTTCCAGGATTGGGGAGGCGTTGCTTGTGCAGTACTTGTCCAGGATGGATGAGGCCCTGAATTCCATCCATTCTCAGCACATACCCCAAACACGAGCCCCCAAACCACTGCTTTTTGTAATTTTTTTCTAAGCGTTGGAAAGCAAGACTGCTCAAGCTGTCCTGGTTCTTACTGCAAGGGTGGAGAGATTCTTCCTATTTCTATAGGACCTAAATAATTATGATTAAACACAGACATCCGATTTAAAAAAAAAACTCCCTCTTAAGGCATGCATATAGAAGATAATTATGCAATTAAATATAAGATTAAAAATATGGAAAAGTTAATGAGGAGTGTATAATGATGAAATTCTTAAAATATGTTCTAACTAGCACGCCTTAAATAAATCATTCCTAGGCCGAGGAAAAGGACTGCATGGTGCTTCTATTCATTGGCAAATGCTGCCTGTATTTTTGGATATACCAATAACTTAAAAAAAAAATCTCACAAATTAAGCCTACAGCTAGCTTGTCACAAGAACAGCACTTTAAACTGGTTGAAAACAGTAGTATTTTTCTAAAATAATGGAACAAAAATTCCATAAAATAAGGGACCCTAGCACTTAAAGAGCCAGATGAAATCCTTGCAGGCTGACGTTCATTTTGTTCTTTTATGCTGTAAATGTGAGGCTCCTAGTTCTCTTCGGCAGGAAGCAGGGTTCAATTCGTAGTCTTTGGAAATGGGTCTTAACAACACAATATCAACCATCATTTAAAGACTTCATCAAAATAGTCTCTTTATTCTAAACATTTTTAGAATAGTTTAGTAGATGCCTACAACTATATGCAGAGTTTCCTTTTCAAAAGTAATTGAATTCCTTGACTGTGAATTATGCTTTATCGCAGATGACAGGTCTGCTTAGCACTCCTTGAATTTAAGACAAGTTTTTCTTTTCAACTAAACTTATAAACACCCTAGCTAAAATGTGGGATATGCATTTTGTGTATTTTTCTGTACATACTTTATATTTCATATCTACAAAAGAACACAGAGGAAAACATGTCAGTCCTTGACAGTAAATATATTGTGAAAGTCCGTTTTCAAAAGATCACCACATGCAATTTGCTTTCAAATGAAAAGGATAAGTCTAATTATTCTATGTATATTGCTGAGTTTCCATGGAGTTTCAATTTGAGATTATTTTCCTCTAAACATAAATAAACCTCAGATTGGACAAAAATATTATAATGGCCTGTTCCTGCAGGGAATTTAGAAAGAAAATATCAGTGTTAACCATTTGGCATCACCTCAGGTCATAAACTAATAAGCCAGCTGCTGACCAGTGCTAATTAATGTCTAGCAGGGAACAGAATGGTTAAAACTTGAAAGCTTACCTTTGCAAACACTGTTTTAACATAAATTGGTAAGTCTCCATGAGGGCTGCCATATCCTCCCACAATGCTGAAGCCTAAGCCATCTGGTCCTCGGTCGAGTGTTATAGTCTTACACTGTGGAGGTCTATAGAAAAGGAAGGAAAAAAGAGGTCTGCAGCTAAACACACACTAAACACACACACACACACACACACACACACACACACACACGTACACACACTATTACTCTCTGTGCCTTGTGCATTACCTGACTCAAACTACGCCCCAGAAATTCTCATTCTTTCATCAGTTTACTGGGAGAGGAGAGGGTGAAAGCTTAGAGGACTGTAATGGAGGGTCCTAAATGATGATCTCAACTTCAGAGAGGAAAATTAACTGTGAACAATGTTGGGGCAGCAGCAAATAATTTGAAAATTCAAATGTGCATCTCTTTATTCTTCCTCTTTTCTAGTGCTTTTACATTTAGGGTTGTTTCCCAATATATTCAATGTTTTCAGTCAAAAGTTCTATCAGTAAGAATAAGATATCCTCTCAAAAACTTGAGAACTTGGTAAGTATAGCAGGGTGAACGGTTGTCTGTAATCTACCCATCTCTGACTGGGTAACAGTCTGTCTTCTAGCCATCTCTGACTGGGTAACTGCCTGTAATCTATCTGTCTCTGACTGGGTAGCTGTCTATTATCTACCCATCTCTGACCAGGTAATTGCCTTAAACCTATCTATCTTTGACTGGGTTGGTGTCTGTAACCTACCCAACTTTGACTAGGTAATTGTTCCTAATCTAACCATCTCTGACTAGGTAACTGTAATCTACCCACCTCTGACCAGATGACTGTCTATATTTTCCTGACCTCAGACCAGGCAGCTGTCTGTAATCTGCCCATCCCTGACTCGCTGACAATAAAAGCATAGGCACTTTATACTCATACGTCTCCCCTTGTTTTACCTCTGTGTGAATGTCAGATCATGTATCAGAGACTGCATTTGTCTGGAGCATTTGATTTGAAAGTAAAAAGTGATAAACCACCAATAGAGTATGTGCTCACCCTAAATCATCCGAAAATATACTGCTTGATGTTAGCCCAGTGAAAGCGAGACATGGATTGGCAAGCTCTTGCTGGTGACCTGTGACCACACTCACATCTCCTCCAGCAACCACCTGTGTGTGGGCAAAGTGAAAAGAGAAGAACATATGTTCATGCAGCTTAAGAGAACCCAAAAGACTTTTCTCCAAAGAACGAACTTGGCTTAAAATGAGTATTTTACTGCCTACTGAATCAAAGAAATGATTAAAATATTATTAAAAAGAAAGGAATTTTACAATGCCCAGACACCTCTTAACTGTCCAGAAAGTAAAAATATCCCAAATCAAATTCTACAATTTTCTTTGATGTATATAAATCATGACTTCATGTGCAATTATTTTTCAAAGATCTTTAGAAGACACGCCATTTACCAAGTACACAAAATTCTAACAATTAATCACTGGTTGCTAAGGCCCTGTATTTTTCCCTTTAGATATAAAATGAGAAATAATGAAGGCATTAGGAAGAAATGTTACCAAACATGTTTCATAACGCTTCCTTGGAGCTCTCATTTTTATCACAGACGTTCAAGGGACATATTAAATAAAATAGTAGCGGGAGACTCGCTCAATCAGTTTTATTTAGCACCAGAGCGCCCGTGTCCTCAGGCTACCTATATTCTGAGCAGTGCTGGGGATAAAAG